GTCTCCTAATATAGCTGTGCACCAACTATCAGAGGATTGGAATTCAAGTATTTCTGGCAAATGTACAAGGTAGGTTTATTGCTCTTTGTACCATATTTTCTCTATCTTCCATTTTGAGGGCATTGAAAATGGGCAGAATAACTGCTGGAAGCAAATAAATATATTGCATGTGAAACACATTACCATCTTCATATTAATTGCAAAAATCTAGATACTATACAAATTTACAAGTGCTGTTCCGTAGTGTATCATGGGGACTGTGTAGGTATTTAATAATGCAGCAATACCACAAATCAAATTCAAACATCACTGAGCAACGCCCTCCGACTTTTTATATATATGCAAAGTAGCCTCGGAGGCTGCCAGGCTATTTGTCACTTCAAAATTTGCTTTCACCAATCTGCTTTTCTTCCTGTGGGTGAAAAGATACTCATGTACCCTATCTCTCCCATGGTTGGCAAAACAGCTGGAGGGGTGGTTTTAAAATGACATATAGCTGTATGTGGAAGGGTTAAACAGGCTCTACAAATCAGGTGGGAAATCACACAACTGAAACTGATTGTTGCATGTAGTTTCTGTCCCTCTAGTAGTATTAAATATCCAATGTGAATTGGTTTTGTATCAGGTTTCCTGGTGTAAACTCCTTGTTCCATTGTAGCTGCTTTAGCCAGCTAAAGGGTTCAGGGCATGACAATTCATAACAAAGCCTGTTTGTAGCCAGCAGAAAAGACACACAATGCTTAAAAAAATAAATAAATCACACAACAGCATATGAAGAGGCAGGTATAAGAGACTTACATGATTAAGGGGTTGGTGTTTTTTTCTGCTTCACTGCATTAATTTTAGATTCAAGGTTGTGTTTTTCTGAAATCATTAGACATTGCTAATGGTTGTAAATGTGTGACTTTACTTAACCATAAGAGGTACGATTATACCTCAGATTTCTTGAACTTGATTGTTCTGGGAAATAGCATGCAATTGATATGCCAAAGCAGCTTAAAGCTGGAAGATGGAAACACAGAGGAGGGATGGCACTTCTACTGAGGCAAAAGTATAGGGTATTTTTTTTTCATGATTGCAATTCAACCCACATTTTAACTTAATAAACATATGAAATCATGTTTATTCAAGAATTATGAGATTTCCTTAAGAGTGTTATGATAATGGTGGTGAAATTAATGAATTACTCTACATATTGGAGTTTGGGATAGGGTTCTAAATAATGTGAGTCTCCAGATCTTAGAGATTTACTGACACAGTGATTCTTTCTATACCACTTCTTGTCCCGGAAAAAAATATTTTGCCAACACATGACATGAGCCAGCTGCTTCCAAGCGTACAGCTGGGGGAAAAACATTTCCCAACAAAGAACCTGCAGTCCCCCTTAGTCCTCTAGTCTAGCTCAATCCATTAACATTTTGAGCTTCAAATTCAAACAGCAATAGGGCGTCATCCTAGTTCCATATACTTGTGTCTGATTCTTAACAATTGCAACAGGTCCTATGGGCTTTAAATATTATCATTTTGCATTACGTAGGCCTTCTACCTATTATTCTCACTCACAAATCTAGTGTATAGGAAATGCCCTGACACAAATAATTTTCCAGCACACAGCTCCTGCTTGCAGTTTAGTCTATATAACTTTGTCTCCTTTGTTAGCCCAAGTGTATGATGATATCCGCACGGGGGGAGTCTTTGAAGAAGGAGGTCTTGAGCCCAGTCATCTCTTCGTGACCATCCATGATGCTGTTTTGTTTGCAACAATGAATAGAAACAGAGCCACACAGCGTCCTGACTTAGAGCAGGTAAAGATGATTCACTGTCTCTTCGCTCTTTTTGCCACATATGTGCAGCTCTGTGCACGTGTGTTTAATACTCTTCTGCTTTCCTTTCGGACACTGCCTTAGTGGTTATGAATCAGATTGGCTAATAGGCTTTTTCTTTTCTTACACTTTGATCCTGCCCTTTCTCCAAGAAGCTCAAGACGGCATACACAGTCCTCCACTCTTTATAACCCTGTTAAGTAGGTTAGGCTGAGGGTTGTTGACTGGCCCAAAGTCACCCAGTGGCTGAGGGGAGATTTGAACTTGTGTCTCTGCAGTTTTAGTCCTACACTGTAACCAGTATAGTATGTATGAATGCAACCAAACTTTCTGCCCTCTATTGTTCACCACCACTAACAGACTCACAGCCCTCCACCTCACCACTGGATATCCTATAATCAATTGCTCCTCTGATCATCAGATACTGTACACCTATTTTCAAGCCTAGCTTTGCACCTGTTAGCAACTTTTTTTAAAAAAAGAAAAATGCTAATATTCTTTCTGCCCCAACAGACTCTGAAGAGGAAGCTTGAGGGGAATGAGACAACAGGCTCCTTTCAGTCATTAGAAAGACATAGCTGAGTGTCTGGTCAATGGGTGTGTGTTGGTGTGCTAGTTTTGGGGACAAGGACTGCAAGCTGCCCTGACTACTTTTCCATTCTGGACTCATTTTATCCAGCCTGAGCCTTGAGAGAAGGTAGTGGTCTGCTCTTCCTGGAAACCTATCACAGATGACCAAGTTTGAAAAATGAAAAACAAAACAAAACATGAAGTTGTTAGCAGTCCAGTCTAAATGTAATGGGCAAAATCTGTTTGGATTTGGATAGGTGCAAATAAAGAAATATTAAGTATGGTGAGTGGCAGATAGCAAGGACTAGAAATGGTAGCATGTTAAATTGCCCCATCTTAGTTCTGTGTGTTCATGCACAGATATAGACAGCAAATCTATACAGTTCAGTGGTTCATCTAAATGGACATTCTGGTTTTGTGCTTCTTTCTCTCTAGAAGCCTTCACAGGTTGGCTTTTTAAAAATCCCTATGGAATTGTGGGGAAGAGCCCCAAATGAAGATCAGCAAATGATCTGCTAACTCTTGTGGAGATAAAAGTATTAACTGGCCTCCCAGATCAAATAAACTCACTACCAACAAATAACTTTATCTCATATGGACTGAGCTTTAGCTTATTGGTCATTACTAATCTCAAACACTGATGCACCATGCCTGCCACCTCAATGTATCTGGTTAAAAGGCGAAATAGAGCTGGGTGTCATAAGCATATTGATGACACCTCACTCTATTAACTTGCAGCTAAATGTATGAACTGATTCTACAAAAACATTGTATATGAAGAGAGGAAAGATGAATACTATGGTTTTGATCAGTAGCAAAATGGCTCATTCAGACTTGCAAATTGCCACTCGATGCTGCACTTATCAAGTTATAATCATGCATGTGTGAGTCAGTCAGTCTGCAAAGCAAACCTGTGTTGCATGCAACAAACTAGCACACAGACATTTTTTTAAAAAAACAAAACACCCCATCATTTTACATCTAGCTGCTAAGCTCATGGGGTAGTCATGGTCTTGGTTTCCTTATTTGCATTTCTTTGCTTGATAAAGGACTTGTTGACCCAGCCTTCAGCTGACATGATGGAACACCTAATCATTGCTGTATGGCAACTGCTATTTGCTCCTAAGAGATTTGTTGAAGGTGAAATCATCTGGTTATCATTTGGATATGGGGCAAAGGACTAAGTCCTTGTTCCACCGTGAGCCTGGGTCTAGCTCATGAGGCATGATAGGAGGCAGATACGTGGGGGCTGGGCAATATTTTTAGAAGCCTGTCCTGAACCACACACAGATATTTGTGTCTACAACATTCATGAAAGATGTTTGTGTACCTTCTATTTTTCAAACTTCCAACGATTGCCACTCCACTCACACCCTTAACAAATGCTATTTGGATGCATTGACCCTTCCAAGAACAACTTGAAGTGCCATCACATCATCCAAATGCCACTGAAACCAAACTATTCGCAGAACCCTTGTCTCACTCTTACAAGACTTTTAGTACTTGGGAATGAATACATTAACACAACAAAATACATGTGTGGTATATGTCAACCATAAGGGTTTTTGTGTGGGCACATTACTGTTTAATGAATTTGCATAAACTGTTCCTTATACAATCTAGAAAATGTTTGAGGAGCTTGCTGACATGTAGGTACATGCCAGAACAGTGTAACAAAGCACTACAAACATGCCGCAGTGCCTACAAATAACAATTATACCCCATGTTACAATACAATAAATATTTATTACTTGTAGCTATAGGCCATTGCAAAGAGGGGAGAGTACAACTGGAAACTCGGGGAAGGGAGGGAGCTCTTGAGCTTTTGGGTCCTGCTTGCATGCTTCCCACAGGCATCTAGTTGACAACTGTGAGAACAGGATGCTGGACTAGATGGCTCATTGGCCTGATCCAGCAGCCTCTTCTTATGTTCATGACCATAATGTTTGCAGCAGCAGCTGAAAAAGTACACAACAGTTGCTGTATATACTGTCTATTACTGCATCACATAGGGGAGATCATCTTAAATACATATATATTGAGCTGTCCCCTTGCTAGCATTTGTATTGGTAATTAAATCTTTTAGAGTCTTGTGCTGACCTTTGGTTTTAAACAAATAAATGGCTGACTAGCAACATTATCATGTTTTTTAGCTTGCAAACAATAACTGGTGATTTGTCATGCTTCCATACAGAGGTCAAGTCAGATAGAAGTCTCTATCTCTGATGAATCACTGGAAGACAGCAGTGCTGAATTCCAAAACTTAGAAGAGGTAAGTTAAAAGAAAAATGTGGTATTAAGTGAAATGTCTGAGCACTCATTCTTCTTAGTACATTTCTGGCCTGTTACTAGTATTCTCAGCATCAGCTACTCTAACCCAAATCCCTTTTTTCTCCTAGGAAATGTTTGGAAGCATTTTTCATTCGGATGCACAGACAGCACTGTGAGCTCATGAGAAACACTCATATGATGGCAAACTTCTTGACCAAGACATTACTTTATGAAGAGATGTCCCTGTGTCTGAATAGCAAGGAAAATAGCCTTTGTGCATTTTTGGAATGGGACCATTGGTGCTTTTGCATCCCAGAGGCTTCTGACCTGATGATCTCTTCTGCCTCCATTCATCTCTGGTTATTGAAATGCAGAGCAATCGATTCTTGAAGCAGTTGGCATGGGCAACAGACGGAGAAACTCAGGGAATATTCTTCATCTATCTAGAAGAAGCAGAAGAATAGCAGGACTATAATGACTTCTCTCTAGGCCTCATCCCGCACTTCAAGCAATTCTTATGAACCCTTCAGGATGTATCTAGCATACACACATAGCCAGGAACTCTCAGTCATCACCCTTGTTTTTATTAAGAGAAATACGAGGAAAAGCAGAGAATATATGATTGATCAACAGACATAACTCTCATAAGGTGTAGTTATTTGGGGTTTGTAAGGGGATGTTTGCTTCCAAAGTGTGAACTGATTTTATAGAGTTCACACTAAAATTAAGCATGCCTCTGAAGATGTTGCCCAATTATTCATCTGCTTTCATTACTACAGCCTAATACAGCACTCTTTGTTTCTATGGTCTAAATGCACCACCAGTATGTTTAGTGACCATCCATCATTTCTTGAAACATGTGCTGTATTTGCTGTGGTACTGAGCCTTATCAAGCTACTGCCTAGAAGTAATGTTGCATTCTCTATTACAACTCCCCATTTTTAAAGGACAGTTCTGTTCAGGGTAGGTGTGTGTGTGTTGGTATGTGTGTAAATTACTTTCTATAGGAATTACATGCACAGAGAGACCCTTTCAGAGTGCTTTGAATCCAAAAACTGGAACTGTCTTTTGACTGCTGCTTCTACCATATGTCTAGAAGCTGCAAGATAATAGCTACTTGCACAGTATTTTGGTGCTTTAGTTTCCTGTTCTCAATAACTAAACATTTAGAAAACATTCAGCTTAAGTTCTTATTGAGAAATAAACAAAGCTTCTGAAGGGGCCAATTTTCCTGGACCTGTTTGCCAATCCCATACATATTCTGTATGGGATAAAAAGATAAATTGTACCTCTTAAATACTATATTGAAAATACTCAGATTGCAGTCTACTCAATGCTTAGACTTCACCTGAGATGCAATTTTGGTTGGAGGACTCTAACTTGATTTACAGGACAAAGTTCAAGGGCAGCGTTTGGTTTATTATTTGATCCCTCTCAAGCTGTTTTAATCGATGCAAACATTCTCGTGGATTTTCTTTAACGTGTGTCACAGATGGGGAGAATCTACCTCTCAGGCAGACCTGCCTGACTAGTTAACCTAGAAGAAGTTGTCTTTTTAAATTTTATTTTGTAAATGCGAATTAATTTTTATATAAAAATGTGAATAATGCAAATGATGTTTTAGTTTTCTGTTGTAATTCCTTCTTGCAGCCCCAAGGTGTTGAATATGTAATGCCTATGACTTAAGGTTAAATGTTCTAAAGTAAATGCTAAGCCTAAGATATACAGCACAAGCCAAAGAACATGAAAAAACAAACCACATAAAAGGCTGGCCATTCTGATGCGGCACTGTGCTGAAATAAGTCATAGTTTGGTTCATCGTGTCTTCTGAACCCAGACTCACGGTTTAGCCCTCTCCAGAATAACCATCAGTTGAATCCAAAGCTTGTCCTATGGTTTACTGCTTGTGTTTTGTCTGCCATAGCTAAATCACAAGCCCAGGTTAAGACAATAAAGATAAAGGTACCCCTGCCCATACGGGCCAGTCTTGACAGACTCTAGGGTTGTGCGCCCATCTCACTCAAGAGACCGGGGGCCAGCGCTGTCCGGAGACACTTCCAGGTCACGTGGCCAGCGTGACATCGCTGCTCTGGTGAGCCAGAGCCGCACACGGAAACGCCGTTTACCTTCCCGCTAGTAAGCGGTCCCTATTTATCTACTTGCACCCGGGAGTGCTTTCGAACTGCTAGGTTGGCAGGCGCTGGGACCGAACGATGGGAGCGCACCCCGCCGCGGGGATTCGAACCGCCGACCTTTCGATCGGCAAGCCCTAGGCGCTGAGGCTTTTACCCACAGCGCCACCCACGTCCCTCAGGTTAAGACAATACACAAAGTCAAACTATGGCTTAACTCAGCGCAGCACAGCAGCAAAACAACAAGAGAGGAGTAAAGCAACTGCAGTCTTCTCTTCCGAAGGCCATACACACACCTAGGCATGCACACTGAGATGTGGTTTGGCTTAGTGTGACATGTGAACCAGGTGAGGGGTGGGGGTGCAATCAAACCACTCAAGGAGTTTCCAAAGAAAATAAAAAATAAGAACTGGAAATGAAAATAACTTGAAACAGAAATAAAATTACCCCCCTCCAAAGAAGCTACATTGTTCTAACTAGTGGAAAATCATAGAGATTTCAAATGCGTGCTTAATGTAGATGATTTTGGAACTTTAAAAATATATTGTTTTAAAGCTGCATCCAAGTGTTTGTTTAATTCTTATAATTGTCTTAAACAATAAGGAAAAAAATTGAGATGTAATCTGAATAAGATAATGCAGCTGCATTGTAGCTTCCAGATAAATGGTGCCCAGCTTGCAAAGAAAACAGAACTTCATGAATCATCTACTGTGGGCAAAAATATCTTGGATTACAACATCCAAATTTCCTTAGTTTCGTTCTGCATAATAACTCATCCCCAGAGGCACGTATAAACAGAGGTGGTGGGGTTTGTTTGTTTTTTTGAAGCCAAGTCCAGTCAAAGGCCCAGCATGCATGCCACATTAAACCAATTTAAAACAAACTATAGTGAAAGCTCCTCTCCTGCACCTGTTGTGCCACCAATGAAACAAAAGTGTACTGCAGAGGATAATAATGATGCAATACTGTCTACATAAAAACATAAAAGTCTGCTGGGATAGGTCAACGGCCCATCTAGTCCAGCATCCTGTTTGAGACCACATAACACCGGTCCTGAAAGACCTACATTGGCACCCAGTAAGTTTCTGAGCACAATTCAAAGTGTTGGTGCTGACCTTTAAAGCCCTAAACAGCCTCGGTCCTGTATACCTGAAGGAACATCTCCACCCCCATCGTTCAGCCCGGACACTGAGGTCCAGCACCGAGGGCCTTCTGGCGGTTCCCTCATTACGAGAAGCAAAGTTGCAGGGAACCAGGCAGAGGGCCTTTTCAGTTGTGGCACCCACCCTGTGGAACACCCTCCCATCAGATGTAAAGGAAATAACAACTCCCTGACTTTTAGAAGACATCTGAAGGCAGTCCTGTTTCAGGAAGTTTTTAATGTTTGATGTTTCATTGTATTTTTAATATTTTGTTGGAAGCCGCCCAGAATGGCTGGGGAAACCGAGCCAGATGGGCAGGGTAGAAAAAATAAATTATTATTATTTCTACTACTATTACTACTTACAGTATCCAACCAAATGCCTGTTGAAAGCCTGCAAGAAGGACCCGAGTGCAACAACCGTCTCCTTACTTGTGATTCCTGGCAAATGGCAGCCTGAAGTAGAACATAGCCATTGCGGCTAGTAGCCACTGGCAGCCTTATCACCAACGAATTTGTATAATATTCTCTCAGAGCCATTCCAGTTGATGGCCATCACTAGTTTTTGTGGGAGCAAATGACATAGTTTATACTATGTGCTATGTAAGTCCTTTCTTCTGAACGTTCAGCTTCACTGGGTGTCCACAAATTCTAGTGTTACGAGAGGGGGAGAAAAACGTCTCCCCCTCCACTTTCTCTATGCATCACTTAATAAACCTCTGCGATGTCTCCTCTTACTTTTTCTCTCAACTAAGAAGCCCCAAATGTTACAAACTTTTCTCACAGGGAGTTGCTTGTGATTATATCCCCTTGATTATTTGTGTTGCCCTTTGGGGAACCTTTTCCTACTCTACAATATCCTTTTTGAGGTGAGGCAACCACACAGTGTTCCAAGTGTGATTGCACAATTAGGTTTGTATAATGTCGTTATGATATCAACAGTTTTATTTTGCAATTCCATTCCTAATGATTCCTAGCATGCAATTCGCCTTTTTAACAGCTGTTGCACACTGGGTTGACATCTTCATAAGCTATCCACTATGATTCCAAGGTCTTGTTCCTGGTCAGTCACTGCCAATTCAGACCCCATATGTGAAATTAAGATTTATTTATTTTTGTCCCAATGTGTTACACTTGTCCATACTGAACTGCTTTTGCCATTTTATTCCCTGCAATTTAGTTTGTATAAATACTTTTGGAGCTCTTCACAATCTCTTTTAACCACCCTTAACAATTTGATAACATTCACTAACTTGGCTACCTTACTGCTCGCCCTGAACTCTAATCTATTTATGAATAAGTTAAAATGCCCATGTCCCAATACTGACCCTTAGCGGCCTCCACTTTCTTCATTCCTCCATTGAGATAGTCCATTTCTCTTTCTCTATCTCCAAAGTCACGATTTCCTACATCCAGCAATTACATGCTCAGGTCTGGGATGATCAGTCAGTCCCAAACCAGAGCCCTCAAGTACCATAGCACTACAAAAAGGAGAGGTAGGATTCAGAAGGGAGAAAATTTTATTTTCCCCTTCCCCACCTCCTCCATCTCCCTCACAAGCAGCCTAAACAGCACTACAAAACTCCTGTTTCAGGCTGGCTGGAAACTTAACCAAGAGCATCTTTATGGGACAGATCAAACACACACACCGCAAATGCATTAAAAGCAGCTCAGCTTAAAATGGTATAAACAAGTCAGCATACACAGAAAATGATAATTAAGAGAGTTCCAATATAAAAACACCCCATGAGGAGACTTAGAATATTTCTCCAGGTAGGTGTTCCACAATCTTAGTGATGCTGGATAAAAGTCTGTGTTTTTAGTACTTACCCAACAGGTCTGATTTAAATATAAACCACAGAGCAGAGCCTAGGATGATAATCTTAAAATCTAGGTAGGTTCATATGGATCCTTTAGGTATCCTTTATAGAATAAGAAAAATATGATTTTAAAATAAGTGTGAAAGTACGACACATTTTGACAAGGAGGGTGTTAACTCACACCATCCAAGGTATCTGAATACTAACTGCCGTGTAGCAAGAGAACTGTATTTTCCCATCAACATTAGTCTGCATTAGGAAAAGTTTAAATGTTCCCACAATGAAGGCAAGATATCTGTTCACCCTACAACAGTTACAGCATGGCAGTAGATTCTCAAAAAAAGAACCATTCTATACAAGTCATCAAGTATGAAGCATACCTGTCCCCACCCCATATTAGATCATATCCATTTAGGGGGAAACAATGTTTACCCAATCTATGCAGTCATTAACAGCCCGATCTGTTGTCATGGTACAAGAAATATTTGCACTTGAAATGTACATTCTTGTTTCTATCCCAGCTAGCACCTCAGTAGTCTGGATGTATGCGTTGGTTCTTGAAAGTAAGCCCTAGTTGAATTTACTGTACTTCTCTTTTGCCCAATTATTTGGGCATAGGTAGGACTCTGAATATTAGGGATACAATGCCTCCAAGTACTAGGTTAATACCAGCTCTTTACCTGTCCTACAGCATTACCTGAAAATACGGTAATCTCCAACCTTGCTCATAAAGACTGGCTTTCATGTTGATTACCTCATCCATTCCAATCAATGTGCAGACCTGGTTTTTCACCATGCCCAAGAACACCTCCATCCCCCAACCACCCCCTAGTTCTAGAAGTTCTGGGGTTCTAGAAATCTCGTTTGCTACTCTCTAGTATTTTTGATGGTCCTCATAAAGATATTAACAACTTTGTTTCTTTGAAATCCCCCCATGGACCCACACAGCTATTTTCACTCTTTATTGGGCAGCGCAATCCTATGCATGCCACCTTTACTCAGAAGCAAGCACCACTACAGGGCCAGCCCAAGACATTGTGGCACCTGGTGCAAACCAAACATAGTCATGTGTGCCCTGCCAGGAAGAGGAATACTGAGCTCTACATCAGGAGCAGGCAGCGAGTGAAGACCTCCATGTGATGCATTCCTTGGGAGGCCGGATCTGCTGCTCCTGGCAATCCTGTCCGTCCCCCGCAGTCACCTTACCTTGCCTCATGAGAGGCCCTGCCTTGCCCTGCCCCAATGTGTTCAATGGGACTTATTCCCAGGTAATTGTGAATGGCAGCAGCCTTAGGATTGCAACATGCTGCTCTCCTTCCCCATTTGTTTTTAACACCAAGAAGAGCTGCTGCAATCCCAAACGCGGCCGGTATTACGCAGGCACACGCTTGTGTTGCCTAGCCATTTTTTATTACTTTAGGAGGGAGCCGAGTCCCACTGAAATCTCGAGGAGCTCGGTAAACGCTTCGAGCCCACACCGGCGGGGAGTCTTGTGATGAGTAACCAGCTCCATTAATGATTCGCAGGGGGACGCGCCGATCTCCGAGGGGCCCCGAGCGGCGGCCAGAAGGCGCCAAGATGGCGGCGCTGAGCGGCCGGGCGCGAGGGGCTCTCTGGGTGGCTTTGCTGGCGCTGTGCGGGACTGTGCTGGCCCTGCTGGCCGTCGTCCTGGCCCGGACCTACGCCCCGCGAAGCCCCTCGCCGGCTCCGGAGCTCTGGGCACGGAGGAGCCGGCAGCAGCGCCTGGAGCCCACGTTTAGTCCCCAAGAGCGGCGAGAGCTCAAAGAGGCGCTGCAAGGTAAACTCAACACAAGTCAATAAAATGGGTCGAGGGGCCGAAGAAGCGGCGGCGGCGGGAGCTGCTTCCCTCAGAGTAAAAGTTGCACGGTCTCCTAAGGAAGAGGGTGCAGGAGGGGCAAAGCAGCCGTGCCGTTTGGGGCACAGTTCGGCAGAATGAGAAGAAGGGTCGCCAAACGTAGCTGGGCTGCACACTGCCTCATTTTGAAGTAAAGTACATACTGCAAGTCAAACATGGGAGCCTGGGGCTCCAGGGGTCGCTGCGGTTCCCATCATTGCTGACCAGCTTTTCTCGCTGGCCGGGGCTGCTGGGAGTTGGAGTTCAGTGGGTCAGCCCTATTTTCCCCTGTCAGATCTATACCTCAGTTGCACCGCTGGAGCCAAAACGGCGTTTCAGGGTGGGGCAAGTTTTTGTGAGATTTCTGAAAGGAATGACGGCATGTTTCACACGGACACCCCATTCTCAACTTATTTTCTCTTTGCTCGTTTTGATGGGAGTAAACCTTCCAAGTAAAGCACGCTTAGGATTGCAGCCTCGTTTTAGCTTCCGGTTTCTGATTCGGTTATCATATTTATGGGGAAACAGCCTTTTCTTCAAGTAACTAAGGGGGTCTCGGAAGGGGGTGTGGGTGTGCATTGTTATTTCGAGGGGGGCGGGTTACCCTCTGGTGCTATACTCATAGGAGTTCATAAAGACTGCATTGTAGGGGGTTGGACTAGATGACCCTCAGCGTCTCTTCCAGTTCTACAGTTCTGTGAGTCTTCCCCCCTCCACCTTCAGCTACGCCTGCAATTCTATACACTTATCTGAGAGTAAGTCCCATTAAACTCAGTGGGACAAACTTCTGAATATACATACGAAGGTTTGCATACCATTGTAGGGTAATCTACAATGTCTTTCTTTCGATATCCTTTATTTGCCCCAGTTTCAACCAACAGAAGTGTGTGTGGCTTGAGAAAGCAAAGCACTTGTGAAAAGGCAGAGCATGGACTTGCCATAGTTTCTGAGTTAATGTGGGAATCAAAAGATTTGGTCATGGTAATGTGATGTATATTGAAAACCGCCGATGATTTTTCAGGCAGTCGTCAATTTGCTGTACTGGAACAGCCCCCATATTAACATTATAGTAGCTGAATATTTACTGTTCTTTATACAGTGGTACCTCGGGTTACATACGCTTCAGGTTACATATGCTTCAGGTTACAGACTCCACTAACCCAGAAATATTACCTCGGGTTAAGAACTTTGCTTCAGGATGAGAACAGAAATCGTGCTACGGCAGCGCGGCAGCAGCTGGAGGCCCCATTAACTAAAGTGGTGCTTCAGGTTAAGAACGGACCTCCGGAACGAAGCAAAGTAACCCGAGGTACCACTGTATTACACACAAAACTATGGAATCACAGCTTGCATTCTCCTCTGCAGAGTGAACAATAGGATTCACAGACTCAGTGGTTTTCAGCACCACCACAGTGCAAAAACCTGGATGCTCATATTTCTTACAGATTCCCCCCAAATACACCATTAGATCATAGGGTTGTATAAAGTAGACCCATTGAAATTAATAGACATGGCTAACTTAGGTTTTTTAATTTCAGTGAGACTGCTCTGGGTAGGATTATCATGAGCTACAACCCAATGCAGTGCATTGTAAAAATTGTGCATCTATCATTTTCTGCAATAATGCATTCCATTATACCCAGTTGTGGGATGCTACTTAAGGCCTTTCCCCCAGGAAAATCCACTGTTTACTGCTGGATTGGAACAAACATCAATCGGTTTTTCTGCAAATTGACATTTGTTCCAATTCAGTGGTAAACAGCAGGTTTCCCCAGGGAAAATAGCAGGGAAAACTAAAAACCGCTTGGACTTGTGTGTAGAAAACACTGGACAAGCAGAAAACTTCTCAGACTTGTGCTTTCTAGGCACAGGACTGTGGACGAATCCTTCGTTGGACTATCCTTTTACACAGCGGTACATGATCATTGGGCATATTGAGTACCGTATTTTTCGCACCATAGGACGCACTTTTTCCCTCCTAAAAAGCAAGGGAAAATGTGTGTGCGTCCTATGGAGCGAATGCAGGCTTTCGCTGAAGCCTGGAGAGTGAGAGGGGTCGGTGCGCACCGACCCCTCTCGCTCTCCAGGCTTCAGGAAGCTATCCGCTAGCCGTGGGAGACCCAGCTCTCCCACGGCTAGCGGAGCGCTGCATTAATCCCGAAGCTTGGGGCGTGCGGAGCACAGCGCGCCCCAAGCTTCTGGGTGCCGGAAAGGTCTCGCTAGCCCTGGGAGAGCCCCGCAACGTTGCGGGGCTCTCCCAGGGCTAGCGAAGCGCCGCGCTAATCCAGAAGCTTGGGGCGTGCGGAGCACAGCGCGCCCCAAGCTTCTGGGTGCCGGCAAGGTCTCGCTAGCCCTGGGAGAGCCCCGCGACGTTGCGGGGCTCTCCCAGGGCTAGCGAAGCGCCGCGCTAATCCCGAAGCTTGGGGCGTGCGGAGCACAGCGCGCCCCAAGCTTCTGGGTGCCGGCAAGGTCTCGCTAGCCCTGGGAGAGCCCCGCGACGTCGCGGGGCTCTCCCAGGGCTAGTGGAGACCTTGCCGGCACCCAGAAGCTTGGGGCGCGCTGAGCTCCGCACGCCCCAAGCTTCGGGATTAGCGCTCCGCTAGCCGTGTCTAGGCTGCGGATAGCAGCCTGCTTCCCGGAGCGTCGGGCGCCCTGAAAGCAGAGCTCCAGGCGCTTCGGGAACACATCCGCAGCGTGGGGAGCCTTGCAGGAATTCCCCACAGGGCTCCCCACGCTGCGGATAGCAGCCTGCTGCCTGGCGGGTGGGGCGCCCTGAAGCAGAGCGCCCCTCGCGCCAGGCAGACATCCGCAGAGTGGGGAGCCTTGCAGGAGTTCCCCGCAGGGCTCCCCACGCTGCGGATAGTAGCCTGCCGCCCGGCGGGTGGGGCGCCCTGAAGCAGAGCGCCCCGCCGCCAGGCAGACATCAGCCAGCCCCACAAGCTCGGGGGACAGCAGGGAGGCGCAGCGCCACTATCCCGCTGTTCCTCAACCTGGTTCGGTTTCCCTGACCTGCTTTTGGGGGGGAAATAAAGGGGGAAAATTTTTTCCTTTATTTCCCCCCCAAAAAACTAGGTGCGTCCTATGGTCCGGTGCGTCCGATCGTGCGAAAAATACGGTATTTCTAGTGTCTATAACATGAAATCAACAGATTTGTGGTTCATGTCTGAGAAGTGAGCTGCTTGAAGACAGGGTGGTTTTGCATTTACTTTGTTTCCCAATATGTTTCTTTTAAAGGCCTGATTTTATCTACATATAGTTTGTTGCATTGGATTGTGTAAACAATATGTTATCCTTCAGTCTACCCGTGCTTGTATCTTACGGTTACAAGAAAACAACTTAGGAGACTTGTTTGCAGTATACATACAGTTTCTGTATGGTAAATAGCCATGTGGGAGGAGCCTGATAGTGAGGACGTGTGTCTTTTCTGTTTAGCCAACCCTTGATATTTCTAGTTATCTTGTTCTTAATGATAAGATTATCTTTTTAGTCAAGGTACGTTTATTATCTACTGCCAATGTCAGTAAGTTCAATCTGGTCATTATGCTATGAATGTACCAGAACTCTGGAGGTTTTATTATTTAGTTATTTATTATTTATTTATATTCATATGCTATTTAAGAATTTTGCAAGTCCAGAGTCCAGCTAGCTAAAAGAATAAATATGTACAATTTAAATAATCAACTGCAGTTGGTAGAAGCAGAATGAAATACAGCTCAGATCAAAATCAGACAAAAAGTCAGAACTACAGATTGCATATTAAAAACGTTGGAGCTTTTTTAGTTATAAATGTGCTATCTAAATGGTGGTGATGATGATGATGTTGGTGCCTCATGGATCTGTCTGACAAGGATGTCTCACACACATGACACAGCCACTGAAAAGTCATTTTCCAAGTCACCATCTAACTAGCTTCTGAATGTGAAGGCACCTGGAGCTTGGACTCCAATGCAGATTTGGGCAAGTTCATGTGGGCGTTTTCATATAGGAAAAATCATTTCTTTGGGTACTCTGTTCCCCAGCTGTTTAAGCATTAAAGGTCCCGCCTTTTCTCTCTCTCCATCAAACTGACTTCAATTTGTGCAGCGTCAGTATGTCTACTAGATTATAAACCTTTCTGACAGCTCTCTGTCTATTTTATTTATTGTGTAGTAGTCAGTGGAATTTTAAACACATAATAAATAATAAGATGGCATTTTATAGTTCCTGATCTTCCTGTATTTAAGTACCTTTGAAGAATGTTGATTTGTTGAGCTGTGGACGTAGAATTTATACCATGTAATTGTGGGAAAACAAGTTAGTTTCTGAAGTCACAAATGCAATGATGAAATCAGGTGGAAAAGGTATTCATTTCTTCAAAGTAAATGTTTCTGTCTCAGGCTTCTTCATAGAGAGTCACCGATGGTAATTCTGGAGAGCAAAATTATAGGCTGTCTGCATTTTGTGACTTTAGCCTTTAGCCTTTTTCTTTGTTGCTCCCTCAAATTTGGTGCTTCTACTTTTCTGGCTGCCTGTCATACAGCGCTATTCTCTGTTTATTTGCTCTTTGAATGTCTGCCAAAAACATATTAATTTTGTTCGCATCAATCATTTAATATATAATGTATCACTGTTGTTGTTGTTATTATTATTATTTATTAGTGACTTTATTAACAGAAGTGAGCCAAAGCAACTTACAACAAGGTATAAACATTAAAACCAATTACAGTACGATTGCATCTAATGCAGGGGTTCGGTTCCAAGAGTTCTGCATATACACAAAAACGTGTTTACTCAACCCTTGGAACCACCCACAGACATCTCCAGCCTCCCGGAGCCAGCACACTCAGCTTGCTTTTCCCAGTAAGCAAGGCTTTCAAATTTATTTCCATACTGGGGAAACCTTGCATATGAGTCAGTTCACATGGGGAGAGGTGGTCCTTGAGATATTGCAGTTCTGAGCTGTTTAAGGCTTTATAGGTCAAAACCAGCACTTTGAATTGGGCCCGGAAACTAATAGGCAGCCAATCTGCCTGTTAGTTGCCATTATATGCTCAAACCATCTTGCCTCAGTGAGCAACCTGGCTGCTAAATTCTGCACCAGCTGAAGTTTCTGAACCGTCTTCAGAGGCAGCCCCATTTATAACACATTGCAGTAATCAAACCTAGAGAGGATACCAGAGCATAGACAACATAAGTTAGGGTATCCCTGTCCAGATAGGGGTGCAGCTGGGCCATCAGCCAAAACTGATGGAAGATACTCTGTGCCACTGAGGCCACCTGAGTCTCATGCAACAGTAAAGGATCCAGAAGTACCCCCAAGCTGCATACCCACTCCTTCAGAGGAAGTGTAACTCCTTCAAGAACAAGCAACCTCCCATCCATTCGGTCTAAGTAACCACCCACTAACTGTGCCTTAGTTTATCTGGATTGAGCTTCAGTTTGTGGCTCTCGTTCAGTCCATTGCCAAGGCAAGACATCAGTCCAGCATGTCCACTGCCTCACCTGCAGATGTAAATGAGAAGTAAAACTCTGTCATTGGCATACAGCTGACAACGTACTCCAAAACTCTGGATAACCCCACTCAGTGGTTTCATGTAGATATCATCTATAGGTACATATGATCCAAGACCCTGCCAATGAAATCATGTGGATTGGGGGTGGGGATAGGGTGCAGACTCCACTTCATTCATTCGTATTACTGTCTATATGAAAATGAAATGTGATACAAGATGTACAGACATCTTCTTGCTTAATAGAGTCTGGGGATCTCACTCAGCCACTTGATCAGGGGCACCATTTGCACATCTAAATGTGTGATCCTGCACATCACTCAGCAATGCAGGAGACTCCAGACTCAGCTACCATTAACAATATTCTCAGAAATATTGTAACTGGGAATGACATTTGCAGGCTCTGTCAGCCGACTGGTAGTGGCACTTCTAATCCTTTGAATAGGCATCTTGACAGCCTTTACATTATTTTGCAGGGAAGGAGAGTTTATCGCATTGCACTGTTGTTTTAATAATTGCCTGTCTGAGAAAGTTACGAAATCTCTTCTTTTATGTTTTATGTAAGGTGCCATCAGAATGCAAACAGTTTCCTTCTCAGCAAATGATCAAAATACAACAGCCCTGGCAGAATTTGAGCCATATATTCGTAAAGGTATTTGAACTTAAATTCCTTCTTTTAATTAGCAAATGGGCATTAACTGAGTATCTAATCATTGCGTCGTAAAAGAAGAGTCTTTATCGACAAAACTAAAGTACTAAGCTGACAAAATGTGATTTATTATTGAGTAGAATGCAAGTTAATGAACTGAAGCAGCTGTGGAACTTTTAAATACAGGTTTCTACAATTGTAAATAAATCCTTCTTTTTTAAAAAAGTATTATCTCTTTGTGTTAAATTACACACAAGGATTGCATCTCAATGGCAGAGTGTGCTTTGCTTACGGAACGTGCCAGTACAAACCCTAGTATCTCTGTGTAGGCCTGGGAAAGACCTCTGTCCCTATGTGAAGACCTTTGAGCACTTGACATATACTCTTAGTATGGTAATAAATGCAGGAGCTATAGTTGTTATGCAAGAGTAGATTAATGTAGTATGGTTTTGGTCTTATACGTTTCATGGCCAATACCAGTCAAACAGGTAAAATTACTGGGTTCTCAGAAAAGATTGAAATTATATGAAGAGTGGCTTTCATTGTTTCTGTTGTTTGTTTGTTTGTTTCTTTATTTAACAATTTGAATACAGTGTTGTTGTTGTTGTTGTTGTTATTTACTTTATCCTTTTGTTTGCTTTAAACTCTGTTCCTCCACCCCATAGGGTGGTGGGACCAGCAAGAGATGTGTGCTATGCCTTTCCTCATCCTTCAGTTACCCATTTTCTGAAATATATCAGCCATTATAATATACCAACTGTTGCACTGAATACCAAAGGTCCCCATTGATTTGTCCAATCCTTAACCTCAAACTTTGGAGGAACCCTTGCTAATTTTCTTTCCCTTCTGTTTTTCTTCCCTGAAGCTTTTCCTGCAGTGTTTTCTGCAGCATTCATTAAACATGAAGTTATTGGGGAATATAGCCACCTATTCACCATCCAGGGGTCTAACGCTCAGCTGCAGCCCTACATGCTGCTTGCACATATAGATGTTGTTCCAGCTTCTCCAGACGGGTGGGACGTCAGTGACCCTTTCTCTGCTGAGGAACGTGATGGGTTTATATATGGAAGAGGAACACTCGATAACAAAAACTCTGTTATGGTATATGTATTTTGTAAATGTACCTCGTTTTGCAGGGTGGGTGGGGTGCAAAGTGTTTGTCTCACAAAGTTTGGCATGCTACATTAATGATGGTTCACTGGTTTAATGCTGTACTGTTTTTAACATTTGATTGGGAGCCGCCCAGAGTGGCTGAGGAGACTCAGCCAGATGGGCGGGGTATAAATAATAAATTATTATTATTATCTCTTCACAGTGTGAGGAGAAGCATTCCTATTATTATTATTATTATTATTATTATTATTATTATTATTATTATTTTGCAAGCTAAACATAAATCAGTGCACTTTATAAAGAACCTTTTAGCCATATGAGTATATTTTGCTTTGCTTTAAATTGATGACTTAGTATACTATTTCTGTGGACACTATTGGGCCAAAGGTTGCCCTGAAAGGAAGGAGAAAAGGAAGGAGGAAGGAGGTCAGTGGGTTGCTGCCCCTGACAATTGGAAATCAAGAAGATGATAGGAACCTGGAGACTGGTTCCAGAGGGAGCAGCTAGCTGGATAAAGTGCTGCAGCCTGAAAGTCAGCAAGCAGAGCAAGAACTGACTACCAGAGCCCATACAGAAAGTTCAGTGTTCACTACTTTCATCCAGTAAACCACATTCCAAGTCACAGGCATTTCCACAAGACAGTTTCCTCCATTTTCTTCCAAAGAACAGGCTAAATAGATGCTCCAAAGCGTCTACATTGAATTTTTGAAAGCGTTATTTATTTTTTTAGCTCTGTGATTTGGACTTTCCCACCTTGATCTATAATCCCCTCCCAGTCAACTGACAAAGTTAAGTTTCATGCAATTAAATGGTGTTTTGGTTCAATCAGAGGTTAGTACAATGCCATTGGATTCTCAAATCCCACCCTCTAATCTGGGGCAAAACCAGTCCTTCATGCTGCCCCACAACAGTTGCTGTTAATATGGAACAGGTTCTGTAACCAAGGTGCTAAATAGACAATGTTTAACATTTTATTTTTTATTCCTCAGGGGATTCTGCATGCTCTAGAATTCTTACTGAGACGAAATTACAGACCTCACAGGTCTTTCTATATTGGCCTTGGGCATGATGAAGAGGTATTCTGTGTGTCTTTAATTTCCCCCGTATTTATTTATTTTAGATTTATAGCTCATTCCAAAGGCTGAAACAGTAGATACTGAACTTGAGTGGATCAGCCTGCTGCTCTTTTTACATGGAGACTCCTTAATGGTGTTGTGCTGTCCTGATAAAAGGTTTCCATGCACTGCAGTGGTAGGTGCCTATTGACTAGTCAACTGTCGACAGCATAGGAATATGGATTTTGCTTTGCATAGGGAGAAGAATGTGTATTTTTTGTGTTGTTTAGCATTACAATTCTGTATCCGGCCCCACACTGCCCCCAATTTTTTTTAAAAAAAAGTTTTGAGGATTAGGAGCTTGTCTTCACTGCGTTTACAATTTGATGTAATTATAGAATCTATATTGAAATGTATGGATTTGTTATTAGAGTTTGGTGGATTATGTTACTTGTACTACTTGCATTGCATAAAATTGAGTATGTTTTAGCCCGGGCTCGGGAACCTTTTTGACTCTGGGTGCCAATTCCTCATCAGGATTGGCTTCATATGTCAAATGTGACAGGTGGGTGGGGTTGCTGACCTGTCCAATAGCACAACATCACATATTGGCAAGTGAGCAAGGCCACTTGCCTGTCAAAATCCCTCCTGTGGCCTTGTAAGTCTCCCTTGCTTCCCCTTTAAACCTAGTGTCAAGGGTTTGAAAGAAAACACAGGAAGACTTGCACAGTGCCCTTGGAAACAGCCTTGAGGGTGCTTTTGCCAAGTGCTTTAAGATGCTTTTACCTGCAAGACACACCTCTCCCTCCCCCCCCTCCTGTCACTTGTCAGAGAAGGCAGAAAAAGAGGTGGGTTTTGCAAGCAAAGGAGGGGATTACTCCAGTTCTCTGCCTTTGTTTGAGACTGGGAAGACTTGAAAAAGATTTGCAAGTTTCTCCTTCTCTTTTAAGTGCCCAATCCTGTGCTGAACTCAGTTCCATCTTTAACAGAGAATATTTCCCCTGATGGATAAAGGATCACACAGGCAATATAGGATTAAACCCTGGCCTTCCGCCCATCAGCTGTCATTGCCAGTAATGTCAGCTAATGGCTGGGCAGACATGGTTTGGTGAAACGACCCTGGTGGGCCATGATTGGCCTGGAAGCTGGAGGTTCCCTAACCTTGTGTTAGCCTAATGGCTGCTACACTTGAGGAATTAAGTGCCACAATTTACCTCTGAGTGCAGGCCGATAGCAAGATTCAGCAAATAATATACTGGAATGAAATTAGTTCATTAGGTGCAAGGTTAAATGGTTTGGAGCACCACACATCAATTGCTCTCTCCAGTAGAAGTATGTGTATATATAAAAAGGTAAAGGTACCCCTGCCCGTACGGGCCAGTCGTGTCCGACTCTAGGGTTGTGCGCCCATCTCACTTAAGAGGCCGAGGGCCAGCGCTGTCCGGAGACACTTCCGGGTCACGTGGCCAGCGTGACGAAGCTGCTCTGGCGAGCCGGCACCAGCGCAGCACACGGAAACGCCGTTTGCCTTCCCGCTAGAAAGCGGTACCTATTTATCTAATTGTACTTTAGGGGTGCTTTCGAACTGCTAGGTGGGCAGGAGCTGGGACCGAAGACGGGAGCTCACCCTGCCGCGGGGATTCGAACCGCCGACCATGTGATCGGCAAGCCCTAGGCGCTGAGGTTTTACCCACAGTGCCACCCGCGTCCCATGTGTGTGTATATATATATATATATATATATATATATATATATGCAGGTTTTGGTGTCCTCGGGTGTCTTCCCGTGTAAAAGTTGGGGTGTCTAGGCGACGTTTCGACGAGATCTCACTCGTCATCTTCAGGCTGGTGCTTTCGGCTTCTTGTTACTGGAACAGAGCAGGATCTCAGTGTTTGAGTTCCTATAAATACTGTTGAGGGGGTGTGGTGTATAGCCTCCTATGTTCTGGGCAGAGAGGAAGTTCCCAGGCTAGTGTGCCTTTTCTTCTTTTGTTCCTTAATTAATTGAGGGATATCTTGAGTGATTTCTTGAGTGATATTCTGAGTACCACTTAGGTGGGTCATTAGGTGTGGATTAGTTGCTAAAGCCTTCGTGTCTTGACCTCTTGAACTTTGTGAAGAGTTTTTCTGAGAAGATGGCTGTACTGCAATTAGTTGTGCTCTGGCTTGGCTTCGTGTATAGGGGCGAGCTGTGGTTTTGTGCCCTGTGCCAGTCAGATCTGTGTAGGGATTGCAGGGGGGTGCAGCATCCGGAGGTGCCACCATGGTTTGGCTACTGGATGGTGTCTGTAATTTATCTGTGGAGAGGGTCTGGGTTTGGGTCTGGTGTGGTTGATTGGTGATGGCGTTCTGTGTGCCTCTGGATCTGGTGTCGGTTTTTGTGGGGAGGGCTAATTTCCAGATGTCTGGCAGGCGGGACGTGTCGTCACGCTTGTTCATGTTGTGAGGGTGTTTCTCTATCTCGATGGCTTCCATGATTATTCTCTTGTGGTGATGTTCCATGTTAAAGAGCAATTTGGAATCTGCAAAATTAATTTCGTGTCCTGTTTCTTTCATGTGTTGGAAAAGAGAGGAAGTTTTTTCTTCTTTTTTGACGGCATTCTTGTGTTCTGCGATACGTGCATTTATTCGTCTGTTTGTTTGTCCAATGTACGTGGCTGGGCAGACTTTGCAGGGTATTTCATAGACCCCTTGGTTTTCCAACTGGATTTTATCTTTGGGGTTTCTGAGGATATTGGCTATTTTTTGGTTGGTGCAAAAGGCTGTTTTGATATTGTGTTTATGGAGGATTTTGCTAATTTTATCTGTAGTGCCCTTGATATAAGGAAGGAGGGCCATGCCATTGTTTTCTTCTGTGTCTTGGTTTTTGGGGGGTGTTTCTTTTTGGATTAGCTTCGTAACCCTGTTTTGCTGGTATCCATTGGCGATTAACACATTGGAGAGATTCTGTAACTCAGTTGTCAAGTGGTCTTTGTCAGCCAGGCGTTTGGTTCTGGAGATGAGAGTCTTGGCTACGGAGTTTATTTGTGCAGGGTGGTGGTGTGATTGTGCATGTAAGTAGCGGTTGGTGTGTGTTTTTTTCCGGTAGATAGTGTGTCCTAGGGAGCCATCAGGTTTTTTGTAGATTAGGACGTCAAGGAAGGGAAGTTGGTTGTTGGCTTCTATTTCCATAGTGAATTGTATTTTGGGGTGTAGGCTGTTGAGATGTGTGAGGAAGCTATCTAGTTTTTCCTTCCCATGTGGCCAAATTACAAAGGTGTCGTCAACATATCTGAGCCAAAGTTTGGGTTTGTGTTCTGACTTGTCTAAAGCATTGGTTTCAAAGTGTTCCATGTACAGATTTGCGATGACCGGTGAGAGGGGTGATCCCATAGGTGCTCCTTCTATCTGTTTGTATCTTTGTCCATTGTGGATGAAGTACGTGTTGGTTAGGCAGTGGTTGGTCAGGTCCAGGATGTATTCGGGGGATTGTATTTGTTTTGAATGGCTGTCAAGGCTTCATTAATGGGCACTTGTGTGAAGAGAGATACAACATCGAAGCTCACAAGTAGGTCATCGGGATGTAGGTTTTGCTTCTTTATTGTTTCTATGAACTGGAAGGAGTTTGTAACGTGTGAAGAGATGGATTCTGCATAGGGCTGAAGTTGCTTAGCGAGAAATTTAGCGAGATTTTGTAGAGGTGAGCCTATGGAGCTGACTATTGGTCTGAGTGGTGTTCCTTCTTTGTGTATCTTGGGGAGGCCGTAGAGTTTGGGGCATCTGGATGATTTTTCTCTGGGGATGATTCTTAGCTGGATTTCTTCACTGATAGGAGAGGCTTAAGGAACAAAAGAAGAAAAGGCACACTAGCCTGGGAACTTCCTCTCTGCCCAGAACATAGGAGGCTATACACCACACCCCCTCAACAGTATTTATAGGAACTCAAACACTGAGATCCTGCTCTGTTCCAGTAACAAGAAGCCGAAAGCACCAGCCTGAAGATGACGAGTGAGATCTCGTCGAAACGTCGCCTAGACACCCCAACTTTTACACGGGAAGACACCCGAGGACACCAAAACCTGCATTCCTGTACCCGTGAAAATCTACGAAAGCAAATATATATATATATATATATATATATATATATATATATATATATATTTATATAAAACCTGTATAGCAATTGTCTTTTTCCACTGAAGCACTGGATGCTTATTGCTGCCTGAGACAGAATGAGATGACATTTGGTGAGATGACTTTGTTGTGGGCTTTTCAGGTGGGGGGTCGAAAAGGAGCCATGAAGATTGTGGCTGAATTGGAATCTAGAGGAATTCAACTTTCTTTCGTGCTTGATGAAGGAAGCTTCATCTTCGATGGCATTGTCACTGGAATAGAGAAACCAGTAGCTTCGTAAGTAAGAAATGATGAGAACTTGCCACAATAAATGCAATTGTTGCTCTCTTTAAACAATTGGGAGTCAAACATTGTTCCTGATCTACTTGGAGTGTGTGGAATCAACAATCTAAGTAAATTTTAGATTCTAAGTTTTGCCTATCTGTGATGTTGAGCAGGGCCATCTTTCCCTGGGGGTGCAAGGGGTGTGGGGCACCCGGGCGCCGAATTCTGGGGGGCACCAGCTGCCCACCACTGAAGCTGCCTAAGCTTTAACTATCTACCTGCTATGAAATAAAAAATAATTTTGATCAAGCTAGAAAAACAAAATACATATAATATATACCTAGGTATTACCGAAATGTATGCCTGCTGTTTCACTAAAGGACTTTCGACTGTGCACTCATTTACCAAAGATGCGCTGCGCCAGCAATGGCACTTGTCAGATTTGACGGCGCTTGTCATTCACAACCGCGGCACTTGTCAGACTCAATGACAGTGCTTGTCATTCTCAATGGTGCCGTGCACGCGAAATTAACTCTTACATCAAAATATTATGTTACGTATTGTATTGAGCTGCTATGTGGCAGCGGGGTCAGTGGCACCTTTGACACCACTGATCTCGCGCCGCCTGCCTGCCAGTCGTGTCAAAGGTGCTGCTGACTCCGAGTGAAACATTGCAAATTGAATTTAATTCCATCACTTACAGTTCAAATTCGTATAGAGAAATTGTTTTTAAAAATGTTTATTTACGCTAATTGTCGGCATTTTCTTTGACTAACTACTTAGTACTTAGGGCTCTACTACAGATGTGTTTCAGCACGTGATTTTAGTTTTCCATTTCTGCAAAAATGCGCCTAGAGAGCACTATGCATTCCGCGAGCTGCTTTTTTCCTTAATTTCGGGGCTAAACTAAATTTGGGGGCACTGGGTGGATCTTTGTACCCCGGCAGTGTATATGCTAAAGACAGCCCTGCTGTTGATTATTACGAAAGTATACTACGCCTCATCTTCTTTTAGGGTCAGTATAACTAATTAACCTATGTAATGTGAGTGTCTCATTGGAATAGCCCCCAGCTATAGAGTACTATGTGCTAGTAAACAGGTCCTAGTTTAGGATTGTTACCACTTCCTCTTCCTGGGCACTATTGCTGAAAGGGGAATGGTAGCCAGGTGATGGAAAAAATTGATCTTGGGTAGGTGTGGGGTTTTCCAGAGCTGAGGGAGCCAAAGGGACATTGACAAGGGATCCTACTATGCTGCATGGAATAGCAGGGATGTCAAAATGGTTGTCTAACTAGAAGATAGAGGGGGAATTCTTACATCCTGAATCTAAATAATTGATTTCCCCCAACTTATCAGAATAGGTATCACAGAAAAGGGTGCCATTACAGCAAATTTCACTGTGACATCAGAGCCTGGTCATTCTTCTGCACCACCTAAAAGGACAAGTATTGGTATTCTTTCTGAAGCATTAGCCAAGTGAGTATTTTCCTTTCCTGGTAATAGTGAAATCCTATACCTGTCTAGTTAAAAATAAGCTCCATTCTGATTGTAGCCTAGAGATGTTACATAAATTATTTTGCTCTGTAGTGCCTTGAGTTGCCAGTTCAGTATTTCAGAAATAAGGGACACTAATGGTTATAGAACACTATGTTGGACTGAGTGCTCACTGGAAGGACAGATCCTGAAGCTGAGGCTCCAATTGTCCACCTCATGAGAAGAGAAGACTGGAAAAGACCCTGATGTTAGGAAAGATTGAGGGTACAAGGAGAAGGGGACGGCAGAAGATGAGATGGTTGGACAATGTTCTCAAAGCTATGAACATGAGTTTGACCAAGCTGCGGGAGGCAGTGGAAGACAGGAGTGCCTGGCTTCCTCTGGTCCATGGGGTCACGAAGAGTCGGACATGACTAAACGACTAAACAACTAAACAACAACGTGCATATTTAAGTCACATGCTCTCCTTATTTAAGTGTGCAAATCATCTGAGGAGACAAACCTGTTGTTAAAATCTACCAGAATGCTAAATGGAGCTCCCTCCCAAACAAAAACTGCCGGTGCCTACAGACTTTTAGAAGGCAATGCAAATGCTTTTTAGAAGCATATTTAGAAACCTGTTGCAGTAGAATGTGTATGTATGGTTTTATAATACATTCTGATGATATAGTGGGTAAGGGGTTTATGCGTGCCTTTACTGAGGGAGGGCTTAGTTTGATTTTTAGAAAACCTACCACCAGCATTTGTGATGAGCCTGGAACTGTTGCACATTTAGATCCAGCCATGGGGCACCTTCCAGCATCTAGCCACACATTCTGTTTGCTTAAGACTGTTCCTGTTCCTTGGTATATTGATAAGTGTTGGTTTTGCATGGGAAATGGACAGTAAGAAAACAGTGCCTCACATAATGTTGAAGACACACTGCAGTAGTCTTTTACCCGCCTCCATTCAGATTGTTGCATGATCTCTTCCCAGTTTAAACATAAATCAGATTTATAGCACATCTTCCCGAGAATTTCCTCCAGCTTTCAAATTATCACTGACTCAGCTTCTGTTTTGAAATCTAACATCATCATGATACTTATCTGTAGCAGAAACTAAAGTAGCAATTTTAAGATGACTAAGACATTGCAGACTTCTGCCTAAATTCATGAATCAAAGTAATAGGAGTGGAGCTTGTTTATTTTTCGTCTTGAATTTGATTGTTACAATCAGATAGCTGTTTGTTGTTATAGGTTGGAGCAGCATCCCATGCCCAATCTGTTTGGTCATGGGCCTGAAATCCTGATGTTTGAGCAATTGGCACCAGATGTAAGTATTCAACAATATGTACTCTTTCATGTGATTTCAGTGAAGCGACCTTAAATTTTCAGTGTTAACATTAGATTTCTTATGATTTTCTAAACTTGTTGCTAGTCAGAGTTTTAGAATTTCCAGAGTCATTCCCAATTGATAGAGTTCATAGCAACTTTCCATTCCCCCCCCCCCTAACAGGTTTCATTCTGGCACAGCGGCTCAGTTCCCACATAACATCAAAGCCTCATTTACAGTTATAGTTCTCATGTACTCCCACAATCTCAAACTTTTTCTTCAGTTTCTTCCTACTTTGATCAAACCACAGTTTGTCATGATCTGAGCAATCAAACTATTGTGGGGGAACCTCAGTTTTGGAAAGTAATCCATTCCAGAAGTCTGTTCAACTTCCAAAACATTCGAAAACCAAGGATCAAAGGGTTGTCAGCAAGTTCAATGGGGAAAATTGAGAAACATGCCTTGGAAGCCATCCGACTTCTGAAGCGCGTTTGAAAACAGAAGCATTCCCTTCCAGGTTTTTGGTATTTGGCTTCTGAAAACTTTCAGCAACCGAGACATTCGAAAACCAAGGTTTGACCGTACTTTTCTTCAAACCAGGGCAACTTTAAACTGTTGTTTGGAAGGCAAGCACAAGCTATAGTATGGCAGTTTGAATTAAACAGCAAAGTATACTTTGATCCAACTGGAAACTCATTGAAGCATGCGGGTGTAGAGTTAGCATGGGAGTCATTCCCATACTGCTGAATCATGCTTTGTTACTTGGAGCAAGCTAATATCAGCTACTTGATGGAAAGGTTGTTCAATAGGAAAGTTGTATTGTATTGGAAAGCTTCATTGCAGTTGCTTTTTGTGTAACTTGTCCAAGGTCAATGCCACAAGCAGCATCCTAGATCCACTGATGGAGGAAGAGGGGTGCGGGGGGAGCGCACCACCCCTGGCAGCGCGATCCCAGTGGGGTGCCATCGCGGCTGTCCCCTCACTTGCGCTGGGCGCCACGCCCCCGGGACGTGCACCAGCCCCACCCCCGCCTGCTCTCCACTGCCCGGTGTCGGAGCATGAACTCCACCACTGCCTAGATCTCTGACGGGCTGTGCTTGCAACCCTATCCTTGTAGAGTTATTGGTTTGATCCAGAACTTCACAAACATTTCCCTTCTCCAACGTGTTGCTTCTATGTGCACAGTTCTCTTCCTGCCCCCTACCCACACAGTTCTTCCATTGGCCTGTCTCCTGCATACAGGAAAGTTCTAACATGTTCACTTAGAAGACTTCTTAAGCATGGTTGTTTTTTAAAGAAACCATTCTCTTGATCCAGACTTGCTGATGTGTACTGCTTTTCTCCCCTTTGCTTTTCAGTTCAGCTTCCCTCTAAATGTCATTATGTCAAATTTGTGGCTGTTTGGACCACTTGTTGGAAGGTAAGAAAGAAACATGATATTTCGTCACGTTTTTATTACAGCAACAAGAGCTTTCCTATGCTGGGATACCGCAGGAGAGCATGCTGCCACTACACAATTTTTAAAAGCATTTTTCTTAAAAAGTTTGCAAAATAATAAGTCCATGAGGGTATGGGGAGGCGCATATCACAAGCACAAACAATATTCAGTAAAGTGCCCACTTCATGAAGCAATAGCAAAGAAATGAATGGACAGTGGTTAAAATGCAACCATACTCTTAAATGCAACCTCAAGGGAAGATGGCAAGACAGAGCACAAAAAATGAGAAACAAATGTACATTTATTGATTTAAAATAATAATAATAAATTTTATTTATATCCCGCCCTCCCCAGCCGAAGCCGGGCTCAGGTATTGACTTGGTATTGACTTATGGAATGCGGAATCCTACATTAATTTACTTCTGATCTCTAAGAACTTTGTGTCATCTAAATCTTTACATAGATTTCTTGAACAGACGCCTACCACCAATGCCTTAGTTCGGACTACCACTGCAATCACTATGTTTCATGCAGGAGTCAAGGTACTGTAGTACGAATTCATTGGATTTTCCATAAAGTGTAATGAGGGTCTAAATTTCTCAGAACTACATTTCCAGCTTTCAATATTACTAGTACCAGTGAATTATAGGAATACAAATCCGTTTCTTTCCCCCTGAATGATAAATTCTCCTCCCATGCTGAATATTCACTGCTGGCATCATCCCATGAACTAAGAATGTCAATTCGATTCATGCCCTCTTAGTATGGGATTTGTTATTGATGGTGGCTTGTCCTCAGAATGGCTTAGTTTCTAGAATTAGTAGAGCAGAAAGCTTTCGCTTCAGTCAGTCCCTGCAAGAGGAGAGTTTTACTAAAATAGAACTTCATGATCACAGTATTTTAGCTACTATGGCAAGTTGGTGAGAGAGCCATTCCATACATTTCATAGCAAGAAACCTGGTTAGCTGTTGGGTGCACATCGCCCAGCCAGTCAGTGTTCTCTTTATCAATGTTTCTGTACCGTAATTGAAACTGTTATTTGTAACATCCACACTTAGCATTAATAGGTGTAACCTTAAAAAACTTGCACATGAGGTCCACAAAAATGTAACATAGGAAGAGCTCCTGAGCTTGCCAGTACGGTGAAAGTGGATTGTTAGTGGCTTTTACTTGGTATGATAGTTAAAGAGTGACACCCAGAGGTGGACTGAGATACAGTAGGCTTTGCTTTTATCATTTTTCTGTTGCTTTAAAACTGTCTCCCAAACGACACATGATGGTGACAAAGCTGTGTCTTTAAATGGAGGTCTGCCTCAATCATGTGTGGCATGCAGGTGTTTGGGTTAAATCACAAAGAGGTGCATGAGGAGGTGGCTGAACCCACATCCCTTGTTCCCAACTGCTTTACTCTCAGGTGGGCTCACTTGTGATATTAGAATCTGGAAGGTGGAAAATAACAACTTTGGGTGATGGAGGGGTGAACTGAGGAGGAATGTGCACCTGCATGTAACCTGCTTATGCACCTTAAAACCACATCTCCCCTATTTTATGCATGATTAGATCAGACCCATATTTAAAGAGACAGATCTGTTCTCATGTATAGCTGTGCCATGTGGTTCCAACTGCCCTGTGTAAATGCAGTAGTACAGTGTACTGTATAGCAAAGAACAGATCTGTATAGTTAAACTGATTAATCCTGAAGGAGCGTCTCCACCTCCATCGTTCTACCCGGACACTGAGGTCCAGCACCGAGGGCCTTCTGGCAGTTCCCTCACTGCGAGAAGCCAAGTTACAGGGAACCAGGCAGAGGGCCTTCTCGGTAGTGGCGCCCTCCCTGTGGAACGCCCTCCCACCAGATGTCAAAGAGAACAACAACTACCAGACTTTTAGAAGACATCTGAAGGCAGCCCTGTTTAGGGAAGCTTTTAATGTTTGATGTATCACAGTATTTTAATATTCTTTTGGAAGCCGCCCAGAGTGGCTGGGGAAACCCAGCCAGATGGGCGGGGTATAAATAATAAATTATTATTATTATTATTATTATATTCATGTTTTAAATAACTTTTACCAACAAGTCATAATGAAACTGGATTAGCCATTATACGCTTTCTGCAACAAGTTTGATAGTTGCTTCTAAAAATATTGCAATAGCACTATGTACTTTTTACCTTACATTTATAATTGAAGCCATAGTCATTTCACTATTCAAAAAAATTGTACATTTTCATTTGCCATGCATTCCTCACCTGGTAATGTGATTCTCCCTCAAGATAAAGCTGCACCTTCCAAGAGCCCTTTGAGAGGATAAGGGGGAAAGTCAGTTCAGCACACACTCCTTGGCCATGCTTTCGAATACTGAGATATGAGCAGCTCCCATCTTTTCTCTTCTTTCATTCTGAAATTTAGAAAGTAGACCCAAGCCTTTCTTGTATGATGGAGGAGATGCCAGTTATACATGTACTCATTTCAGCAGGCACTTGGGCCTGCCCACCTTTTTCTAAAATAAGTGAGCTTTTCACTGCCACGCATCATAGGTCAGGGCTGCAACAAATGCATGCATGTCTAATGGATCCCTAGGTTGTCAAGGAGGAAAAGCAGACCTTCATTCAGTGGCTTAAGCAAAGAACATTACATTACCTTCCATAAGTATAATTTTACAAGGCTGAATTAATATTGAGGACTGTGCATTGGCTTCAGAAATTACTGGTGAAATCACCTTGGTTCTGAAGCTCATATTTTAGACTGTGGTTTGTTGTCACATGTTTAAGCCCTCTCTTTTTCTCCCCTCTCCAGTCAAACGTTATTCCCCCCTCTGCAAATGCAACTGTGAATTTCCGCATCCATTCGTCACAAACAGTTGATGAGGTATTTTATTTATTCTGAAAAGTTTGTTAAATTAACAGGTTATTGTTTCTCTCCCCGCCCCCCCACCTCACCCTGGCCCTCATGTTTGGCCAGGAGACTTTAGAAGGTTTAATAATTGGCATGTCTATGGTTGTGTTCCTTTTTGCAGTTAAACCTTGGGTTTCCCATTCAAGAAACTTCTGAACTGGCTTGTCATCTTTTTCTGTATTTATTTAATACCTCAAAAGTGACTGGTACATTGGGGGTGTATCTTTGTTGAAGGGGCCTAAAGGAAGGTCTTTTGAGGCAGTAACCCCAAACTGAATGCTTTGTATCTCTACCTATCCCATTGCGTAACAGGAAAGCAGACTTCCACAATGAAGTCCCAAAATGCTCCCAAAATGATTGTGCATCTTTAGTTGGTTTGCAAAGTGTTACTTAAGAGTTTGCAATCTGTGCTAATACCATAATGGAAGTCACCTTGCTACTTTAGCTTCTTTGTTCCTTTGGGTGTGTTCTTAGGTCCTGGGCATAGTCGACAAAACAATTGATGATAAGAGAGTAAAGATAGAAATGGAAAGTGCCTTTGATCCACTCCCAGTGAGCCCTTGGGACGACCAGACCTTTGGAGTGCAGGTTTTCCGCCAGACCATCCAGGATGTTTTCCCAGATGTTGGCAGTGTAGCTCCAGGTACTGGCAAATGCATTATTACTGTTTTCCCCTTCTGTTTCCACCCAACAACCTCTACTTTGTTTTCATTTTCTGAGTATTCTCTTTCTATTTTATCCCCTTCACCAGGTACGTGCGTAGACACACTCACTATTAATGACTGGAAACGCTTGTTTTCCTCTCTTTCTGACCTAAGATGGTGGTCATTAAAAAAAAAAAGTCAACAGGAAACTGGCAATCAGTGTACCTCAAGTTTTTCAGATTTACATGGGGCTGAAACCAGGCTATATATTTTCTTCTTTTAGAGCAGCTCAGTTGTTGGACTGCCCTTAATAACTTCATTCTGATTCAATTCAAAGCTACCAATTAGCCCTGCAGTCTGTTTCAAAATGTCTGCTTATGTAAAGAGTTAACATTTAAACATGGCAATGGGCACAGTTTTTCTGAAATGTACAGCTGTCTTCCATTGCTCCAATAAATAAAAGGCGGAATTTTCAAAACCTCCTAAGGAAAAGTAAGGCAGATAGCTTCCAGTGCCACTCAAAGGAAGCTAGGAATCTAATTCCCGAAGTCTATGATGCTAATGCAATATTAACTTCAACACTGCCAGTTTTAATTTTTCAAAATACTGATTTCTCCTCCAGGTATATGTGTTGGTAACACTGACAGCAGACACTTTGTCAACCTTACAAATGCTATTTATCGATTTAACCCAGTGATATTTAAACCCGAAGATTTGCCAAGGTACAGTATTCTACTTGACAATTTCTTCCTAGTGAAAACACCAGATGAGAACTAGCAAAACGAATGAGACATGGCAACTGAAACTTGACAGAGAGCAACACTTCTAAAATGCCCATAGTGTTTCCCTACTAGTCCGAAGAAATAGAGGGAGGGCTAGATCTTGTACCTGTCCTTATAAAAAGCAGATTGGAATGGAAGCATCTCTTTAGGACCTCATTTCTGTTATGACATTGCTTGGGCTGCAGATATGTAACACTTCCTGGCTGTAGAACAAGAGAGTACAAGAGAGTAGAGAGAAACAAGAGAGTAGAAAGTTGGGATGTATATTAGACCACTGACCCGGAGTCCTAGCCAGCTCCATTACAACAGAAGCCAAGGAGTGGGTGAGATATGTTTGGCTTTACTAAGGCATATAGATGAAACTGATTTGTCACTTCATTCCCTTTTACCGTGTACCAATGAAGTGTGGCTAAAATGAACTAACCACATATAAAACTTGTTGTGAGAGATTAGAAAAACAAGTGTTTTATTACTTTATACCTGACTAGTCTTGAGCTTCTACATTATTAATAAAAGATTCAATCGCAGCTCAGTTCTGAATACTACCTATTAGGGGAGTTCTAAAGGAAATCCTAAAATGATTGGAATATTCATTCATTCATTCATTCATTCATAAATAAATAAATAAATAAAGAAATAAATGGTTGTCTATTATATAGGAGTCCTATTTCCAACTTCATTGGTACACGGTAAAAGGGAATGAAGTGACAAATCAGTTTCATCTATATGCCTTAGTAAAGCCAAACATATCTCACCCACTCCTTGGCTTCTGTTGTAATGGAGCTGGCTAGGACTCCGGGTCAGTGGTCTAATATACATCCCAACTTTCTACTCTCTTGTTTCTTTTTCAAAAGATACCAGTCTAAGTCCATCTGACTTATGGACCATCTGCTATCATCCTTGTGATAAATAGGAGCATCCTTGTGATAAATAGGAGTCGTATCACATATAACTTTGTGGCTAGAAATGCCTTTGTAAGGGATCGTAGCATGTTTCAGTCTTTTATGGAGCATAATTCAATATCCCTGTTACACAATTATTTAACCTATTATAACCTTAACCCCATTGCTGCTTCTCTCTCCCCCCCCCCCATTCAGGTTCCACGGGTTGAATGAACGAATATCTATTGAAGGTTATGAAAAGCAAGTGCAGTTTATCTTCCAACTGATTCAAAATTCTGATATCAGCCAATCCACAGAGCCACATGCAAACCATGAGTTGTAAAAACAAAATAGGAAGGCTTCTGTGAGCATTACTAGGAATCAGAATTGCACAAAAATGCTACATTCCATGTTGCTGTCAGTTTTGGAACATAGCATACAAATTTTAAGTCGTAAGACTATTGTACCGCACTCCAAACAGTTGTGAAATATAAAAGCAAGCATAGAACAAATCACTTTGGATCAAAATGAACATATTGAACTTATGCTGTGTTGTATTCAGTAGTGGGCTGTGTGGGTGGTACTGTGTTGCTTCCCAACAGCATGGGGCACTGCCACTTACCAAGAGGAAGAGGGACGCAGCGCATGGTGGCAGGAGTGTCAGATTGGCTTAGCTGCCGCACACCAATCTCTCCATGCGTTAACCCCTTTCCCATGCCGTTGTGAAGCCAGGGGAGCAATGCTGCCTCACTGTTGCCACCTGCAGGCCGCTACTGCAGATATTGGAGCCCAGGAAATATTATTGCTGTATAAAGTTTACATCCTAAAGATTATTGCACTGTTCCCTTAAATGGAAGGTATAGCATTTCTCTGTAAAGAGGGCAAAATATTCCTGCATCGCAGGGGGTTGGACTAGATCATCCTAATGGTCCCTTCCAACTCTACAATTCTGCAATTCTTAGTGGGTTATCAATTTGGAGAAATTCTTTTACAGAGGAATATTGTGCTGCTATTCCTGTCAATCCCTGCCTGCCTGTCCCTTGCTTCTGTGAAAAAGGAATCACTTTAATCCTACCCTTTCCAAATACCATTGCCTTTATATCTTTTTTTTCCTTCCATTCCCCTAAATCAACCATAGGCAACCTTGGCCCTCCAGATGTTTTTGGCCTACAACTCCCATGATCCCTAGCTAACAGGACCGGTGGTCAGGGATGATGGGAATTGTAGTCCCAAAACATCTGGAGGGCCAAGGTTGCCTATGCCTGCCCTAAATGGCAGCTGTGGGGCAGGGGGGCTATGATCCAGAGTGCAGTGAAGGAGTTAATTTACCATTCCTCTACACAATGGTGTTCTAAACATTTGGGTCTGGGGAAAGGGGGGGGGACCAGTTAGCTAAAGAGTGTTAGAAGTCTAGAAGCAGAGATGCTGTTCCACTTCCAGCTTAAAACAGAACAGCAATGATTGTGTGCTAGCAAGTTCTCCCAGCCTGGAAGCACCCTTAGAGAGATGTATTTCACTGGATTCAAGTTCTTTTATTCTACTCACAGCCTGATTTACATGCCTCTTCATTTTCACTTCTGAAATGCATTGTTTTCTGGATGTCCTATCAATTCTCTCTTCCTTCAGTGGGTGTACACTTGACAGGAAGATGATTAATTTGAATCCTGATAGGAGCCAGGGGTCTTGTGTCTTTGCTGCTACTCTCATCTATAGTCCCCATGAGAGATGTTGCAATAGGACAGCCCCTAGTGCTGCTTTTCATTTTTTATTAATCTTGAAACTTGTCACTTTAAATTTGATTACATAATTGCTCAGAAAAAGAGGACTTGATTCATCTGCTCCTGTATAGAAGATTAAATGTGCTGTTTATGTAAAGTAATATACAGGTTATGGAAAGAAAGAAAGAAAGAAAGAAAGAAAGAAAGAAAGAAAGAACTTGTCTTAAATGCTTAAATTCCTCAGGGATGTTTACATGCAAATTTTCAGGGTTTGATTTATAACAGTATTCTTCCATAGTCTTTCTGGAATAAAATGTGACTCAGTGAAGCCTATACAACTAGAAATGGCGACAACACTGGATTATTACACTGTGATCTGGTTTACCCATAACACTAAGCCATGGTTTATTTAACCATAAATTGTCCCACAGATGATTAAACAAGCCATGGCTGTTTCATGAGTTTGAACTGTTTTCCAGTTACTCTTGCCTTGTGCCTTTGTAGTGGGATAAACATTTGAGGGTGATGGTTAGAAAAAAACAAACCCATGGTTCTAGGAAGTGCTGGGTTCATACATATGATCGCTCCACAGTTTAACAAACCAAGATTTATAAGCTAATAACAAACCGTGGCTTAAGATTGTGCCTTTGGTAGCAGTAAACACATTATAATTAAGCCCCTGGGCAGAATTTTCACATAACATTCAGCCATGGTTTAACAAAAAAAAAAAAATGTTTAGCATTATGTATGAGCGAGGCCTGTGATTTTTATGAACTTCTTAACAATTATGTATGGATTTGCACTGTAGCTTTATCTGGATGTGATAATAACTAAGACTTGATACAGGTTTTTCTTATGAAAACAATAAAAAAGGACTACGATGTGTGTGATCACTGTTTGAACATGGTCTATTAATCACTGCACTATCCCACAGATATCTCTGTACCTGAGTTTTGATAAGAGCTGGGGGGGGGATTGTCATCAAAACAAAACCATTCTAAGGAAAAAAGAAAGAAAAAACAGGATAAAACTCCCATTATTTTCCAGTCAGTAAACAGGATCCAAGGCTTTCTCTGTTTGACAAAAAAAATATTTTGATTCATAACCTATATGCGCTAGCTTTTAATGGATCAGGTTTTTTAATGCATCCCTCAGGCATTTAATGGATCAGCCTTCAACACAGTGCTTGAATAAAATTAGATTTTGTTATCTCTAAATGTCATTATCCCAATTTTTGCAGAAATACAGCATAATCTAAATAAACCTAAGAGGAAACTTCCACTCCCCCCCCCAAAACAACAACAACAACAAGGAGAGATGAGCATGCTAAGTAGATACTGGTTGCTGATTGTCTCTAGGGAGAGACAAAAACGGGAGGTAGGTGGAAATATTAATGGAGTGTCCTCGAAGAAGGCATGCCTAACTGAAACACTCCAAACTTTAACATTTTGTTGCGGCTCCTACTTGGCTCAATGTATAAACAAGAAAATTATTGTTTTTCTTAGGGTCCTGTATTAGTTGCATTCACACTATGAATTCACATTTCCTGCCCTCTAGTTTAATTTCAGCCATTAGGCCATTGATCCTGCAGTGATACAGCAGGTATTTCAGCCGATTTGCTGAGAGGCAGAAATTTTGTTTGGTGTAAAACAAGCTTTTAACTCCTGTAATAGAGCCAAAGTAATGACAAACCAAAGGGATAAATAATACTTCTATATGCTTGAAAGCGGGGCATGGATGGGAGGTTCTTCTGATAAATGCGGCAATGTTTGCTGTGCTCTGTAGCCTTTGGCTGCTTGCGCCCTGGGCAATTAGTGGGAAATCACCATGCTACATTCCCGCGCATGGAGGAGAATGGGGGTTCCCATCCATTTGCAATCCTGGACTCTTGGCTCCTTTGGCTCGCCCTAAAAATATATTTCTGGCAGGTTTTCTTGATCAGGTTGTGCTCCTTGAAAAGTGAGTAGTACACTTTGAACTGAAAAGAGGATTTAGGCCTCTTTTTTTAGCACGGGGGTGAGGGGAATTCCTGGAAATGGGGCAAACACCCTCCTCCTCCCCCTTATCTGCTTTGCCTGACAGTGTTTGCTCCTGCAACTTTTAACTGTTAGGCCCCATCACACTCTGCTTTTCTAACTAGGGCGAAGGGTGTGATCTTAGCACATTAGCCCAATAAAGACTCGGGAGTTATAATGGAATACCGGTAGATTTAAGGGCATCATGCTCTGGTTAAGATTTGACCTAAACTCTCTAAAAGGGACTCGGGTGGCGCTGTGGGTTAAACCACAGAGCCTAGGACTTGCTGATCAGAAGGGCAGTGGTTCGAATCCCTGCAATGGGGTGAGCTCCCATTGCTTGGTCTCTGCTCCTGCCAACCTAGCAGTTTGAAAGCATGTCAAAGTGCAAGTAGATAAATAGGTTCCAGCTCTGGTGCAAGGTAAACGGTGTTTCCGTGCGCTGCTCTGGTTCACCAGAAGCGGCTGAGTCATGCTGCCCACATGACCAGGAAGCTGTACACTGGCTCCCTCCGCCCATAAAGCGAGATGAGCGCCGCAACCCCAGAGTCGGCCACAACTGGACCTAATGGTCAGAGGTCCCTTTACCTTTTTAAAAACTCTCTAAAGCAGGGGTTGTTAACCCAGACCCAGGGGACTGGATTCCCCCCCCCATTTTTTCTTTACCCTACTCTCAGTCAAGACCCCACTGATCGTGGTAACAACAAAAATAGAGGGGAATTAAAGTAGACACAGGGCTGGAGTGGGTGGGAAAAGTTTAAACCTCTTCACCTAGTGACCTGAAGTCTTGGCCTTATTGTCACAGTGTACTACAGGGCGGCTTATGCCCATTTACTTATGCCACAGCAAATGATAGGGAACATGGGAAGGCTGCCTGGGCCACCTGCCTACTTGCTCTGCTGCCTTGCTCACTCATGCTGCTGGCCTACCTATTTCACTCATTTGTTCTGCCTACCCACTGCTGTCATGCTGCTCACATGGCCACCTACTGGCAGCCATGCAAACTTCAGTGTGATGACTTTTTCTTACAAAAATATTAGAAAGGTAGATAGATTAGGGTTTGTGGGTGGGTGTGGTTGTTCAGGGAAGTTTTTAATATGTAACGCTGTACTGTTTTTAACACTGATTGGGAGCCGCCCAGAGTGGCTGGGGAAACTCAGCCAGATGGGCGGGGTATAAATAATAAATTATTATTATTATTATTATTATTATTAGCCATCCATATTCAACTCAGAATAAACCCATGGAAAGTGGCAGATGCAAGCTGGTCATGCTCGTTCATTTCAGTGGGTCTACTCTGGTTAGAACTAACTGCCTACAACCTGTACAAACCTCGGGTTGTGAACGTGATCCGTGCGGGAGGCACATTTGCAACCCACAGCGTTTGCAACCTGCAGTGCTGCATCTGCGCACGCGTGAGTCGGCGCTTCTGCACATGTGCAAAGCATGATTTAGTGCTTCTGTGCATGCCCGAGCATCGAAACCCAGAAGTAACCTGTTCTGGTACTTCCGGGTTTGGCACAGTGCACAATCTGAAATCACGTAACCTTAAGCATCTGTAACCCGATGTACCACTGTAAATGCTTCACTGTCTCACCTTTGTTTTTTCTGAAAAGAAAACAAGCTCTGTATTTTTTAGCCCTGTGTTGTGGGAAAGGGTTAAAATGTGAGTTTTGTAATTAGACTGACACATCCACTCTGGGGCTGTATGTTATTTTCTTCCTGGTTCCTTGCTGCAGTTGCTGCATCTTCTACGGTGCTGTGGTATAAGAATAACAAGAAAGTTGTCTAATCTCCTGGCTGTATGCCAGGCACATACCACCCCACTGAGCAAGCACACTACAGAAGCACACAGAAAGCACTGCATCACATCTAAGGCAAGGTCAAATCCCACACCTGCCTTTTCAAAAGCAAACAGTCTTGCCAACTTCTATTTTTAAGGCCTAGATTTATTCCGAGCGTGTGACCACAGAGAGTTCGTGTCTGTCATGCCACAAGATGTCAGGAACTGTGTATTTAACGGAGGCACCTGGCGCCTTCAGAAAGGGAGGAGGAGGTGTGTTATAAGTCACATCCACTCTTCAAAACACTTCAGCTTCACCATTCAAGCCCCTTCTATCAATCCTGATGGCCAAATGGAACCTCCATGTTCAGAAGCAGCATAACACTGATTATCAGGTGCTGGAGGCTAACAGCAGGGGATGCTGTTGCACCAACAGCCTGCCTGAAAGCTTCCTGGAAGCGTTTGGTAGACCATTTTTGTTGGCAGGGTACTAGAAGGGCCATGGCAGAACATGTGCTTTGCCTGCATGAGGTCCCAGGTTGAACCCCTCTGCAGGCAAAGATGGGACATTGAAGCCGTATAAGGCCATCACTTTTCTGCAGCCAAGCAAACCTGGGTCTGGTAGGTGCCCACATGGGAGACCTCCTGGAATGGGAAACTGCCTGGAAACTCCATTTGTTTCCATGAAGGAAGAAAAAAGGGGGCATAAATGTAAGATAATAAATAATAAATAAAATATTGAGTGTTAGATGGACCAATAGTATCATTCTAGATAGCTAAACAGAGACAAATTATTTGGCCAAAGCCAGCTGTGAAGGACCAGGATTTTCAGCCAGTTTGTGTTTGCTTTTTTGGTTGTAAAGCTTGGATAATAAAATTGTTGTTTTTGGTTTCAAGAGCACCCTCTTGCCCAGGAAGGTCAAAATGGCTGTTTAAATTGATAGGACAATTTTGGCTTGGAAGGTTCTGCACAGGAGGGTCAAAAATTCAACCCAGGAACCTGACATTCAGAGGAATTAGAAACTTAGCTAGGGATCTGTTCTTTTTCTAATACTTGAAAAGCTGAAGCACTGCAGCAGGAAGGAGCCAGGAGAAACCCAGAAAAGGACCCAGAAGCTGAGCTGAGGGGTGTAAATGGATAAGTATTGGTTTGGCTACAAAAATAGAACAGCGTTATATAACTGGATGTATCTCTTCTTGTTTTAATTTGTTCTAATGGGTAATTACTGAACAGTAAAACTAGCTGTTGTTTTTCCTAACATGATTTTCTCTATTCATCTTGTTGCCTTACTAAAACCTTACAGAAAAACGTATTTTATTTATTGGGGGGGGGGCTTGATCTGCAGGTTTGTTCTTCACCTCATATTACACCATACCCTCCAATATTTCTCTGATGAAAATAGGGACATCCCATTCCATAATGATAATTTTATTATTTATACCCCACACATGTTACTGGGTTACCCCAGCCACTCTGAGCGGCTTCCAACCTATAAAAACATAATAAAAAATTAAATGGAGATACTTGGAGGGTCTGTTATACCACTCTAGCCTATACCAGTGGCGTAGCGTGGGGGGTGCAGGGGGGGGCCGGCCGCACCGGGCGCAACATCTGGGGGTTAGGGTTAGGGGGCGCAAATCCACGGGTTAGGGGGCACAAATTACTTGCCTTGCCCCGGGTGCTGACAACCCACGCTACGCCACTAGCCTATACTAAGTGTAGTTTGGGCCAGGTAAGTCCAGGTAGTTAATGGGTTCTTTAGTAGAGGAAGTCAAATAAAAATAATTTGGTTGCAGCTGCGAAGTTAACAAGGAGGTCTGTCTGGTTTGCTGCCATTCCTGCAGGATATAGCCATGTCATGTCACATGATGTCAACCTTCCTACCCACATATATTACACTAACATCAGTGTGGGGGTACTATTTTACCCCTGGAGAAGGACTGTACAGCTCTTCAAAGCTGTCACTTAGCAAAGTGACTTAGCAAAACAAAACCCCAAAGGAGATCCTAATCGCTGCAAATTCGGATACTTCTATCAGCATCCGTTACCCACAATTGCTCAATGAGCCTCCATGTTCTTTTTGCCACTGCA